TCTGCCTCTGTGTCCAAATGTCTCCTTTGTGTAAGGACGCCAACCATTTTGAATCAGAATCCATCCTAATGACCTCCTTTTGACTTGATTACCTCTGGAAAGATCCTCTCACCAAATAGGGTCATGTTTTGAGGATTCCAACTTTTAGGGATCATACAATTCAACCCATAACAGTGAGGCAGCCCCGTAGAGTAGGTTCCTTCTCCTCGCTTTTGGCCCCAGATGGGTCTTTCCTTCCCTCCCATCCTGGGAAAACTATGGTGAATCAGCTGAAAACCAATGGCTACATAAAACTTGTTCTGCCTCCTCTCATCCAGTTTCCCTTCATCTGGTGCCAATCAATGGCATTTTGCCCAGGCAGTCACTATGCCCTGCGTGCACCGGGAAAAACAAAAATAGGTTGCCAGAGCCAGGAAAACCTGACATGTTTTAGCCTGAGGTCTAAGTGTGGTTTCTTTGGGGAACATCAAACGATTTCCCTTGTCTGAGTGCATGAGTGTGCAATGGGGTTCTTTAGGTTGCTGGTTGTCTTAAGTTTTTCTACCACAGATCCCTTGAGAAAGCCTGCCTGCCCATCTCATAGAAACATACCCTCACCACCCAAGGTGGGCAACGGAAAAGGAACCTCCGTGTGGGAGGGGTGGTTGGAGACTTACAGCCCCAATTCTTGTCTCAAATGTACTTTTCTCTTGTAAGTTGCCCAGGAGGCTCTGGGAAGGCTGTTTCTCTTCTAACACTTCTTCCCAAACATGAAGAGAGACTCACCTCAGTCCCAGGATGGAGTGTTTGGTTCATCGCGTGATCCCAGTGGCCTGTGGAGTGCCCAGTGCACTCAGGCATCACTTCTGGCCTTGACCGTGGAACACAGAGGAAGGTAGTTTACACAGGTGGCCTGTCCTTTGCCAGGGGTTATGTGGATTTCCAGAGGCTTCAAACGCAAGCTCACAAGCACCCATGGTCAAGAGCACAGTCTTGGAAGCCTGGCAGAAGTGGGTGGATATCATAATTATGCCACCTCCTACTTGAGGGACCTTCAGTAGTTACTTAAATTCCCTGGAACTGAGTTTCATCATCTGAAAAACAATCAAACATAGAACCTGTTTTGTAGAGTTACTGTGAAAGGACATAGGATATGCACGTAAGGTATTGAGTACCACCTCTGACACAGCGGAAGGGATTAAAATGGAGATAAAGGAAGGGCAGTGAGACAACCCAACCCATTCTAAAGGTCTACTGTGCCCCAGACCCTGGGTAATGGGCAGAGGGACATAAAAGGAACATCAGACTGCTGGTCAACCTCTTCTTAAGTTTCTCAGCTTTAAAAAGTGCCTTAAAAACATCCCAGCTTATCTATCCCCATGGGCTGGTTACATGGACCCCAAGTAGCTCCCCAACCAAACTAGAGAGGCATCCCAAAAATTACTGATAGGTAGAGCTCAGTGCAGCTTTCCAGACTCTCTCTTACCCCCTCCACCCTGGACCCTCTTAAGAGCTCTGGCCTGGCACCCCTGCTTCCTTGTCTGGATGGCAGCCCATCAGGACCAGAGCTAACTCTAGATTTCTCTGTCTTTCTGTCCGCTGCCTCTGATGTCAGCCAGGGCTCCACACCTGGGACCTGCCTGGCCTCACCGCCCACCAGGTCTGAACGCTAGGCCAGAGCCAGGTATCACAGTTCCCACCGGATCTGCAGGGGAAATCATGACGTTTTCACCAAATGAGTCTCAGAAAGTGATTGCTATTCCAGAAATTGTTATTGTTTCTTTAGCTCTGGGGAAGAGGGATCTTTTTCCATTTCCCGGCCTCTTTGCCCCCCACTCCCCACTCCCACCCCTCACCATTTTAGATGTTCAAAAACTGTGTTTTAAAGAAAACGAAGCTCCGCTTCCTAGACTGCTCAGGTCAGCACACAGAAGTGTGTTTGGTGGAAAACTGGACAGGAAGAGGCTGAGATCACATCGGATGGGCACGGGGAAGCTGAGACGGGAAATCCATCAGTTCTGGGACAGACGTTGAAGCCCGAGTCCCCCACAGGTAGTAGTTAGAGGTTTATACGCGGGAACCTCGTGGCAGAAACCTCTCCATGTCTGCAGAACTGTGTGAGCACCAGGGCCGACCCCACAGCTGGGGGAGGAGAGGGAAGGAGAGTGGGTGGCATCAGCCCAGTGGGGTAGCCCCTGGTGTGTCAGCAGATAGAGATCATCTGTGACAGCAGCCGCCCAGGCCCAGGCCCACCCCAGGCCCAGGGGGCCAGCAGCAGGTGGCTTTAGCTGACTTGTTTGGCTTTCTGCCCTGTGGCCAGTGGAACCTGACAGGTCAGTTTCCAGATCTGGGCCGATTTTTTTCCACTTCCTGGTTCTCACGCCTTCAACCTGAGAAGCTGTGGTTCCCCTCCCCCTCACTCTGCAAGAGGATGTGTTCTGTCCACAATGCCCATAGAAACGTCTGGTCTCTTAATCAGCCATTCTGAACCCTAGGAAGTTATTTAAGGGATCGAAACAGCTGAAGTTGGACCCCTGAAAATTAAAATCAGTGACTGGCCTCTATTTGAGGATGGTTCTTCCAATGTGGGAGAGACCTGAGCACACCCCTCACCCCACCAGCCAGGTCTCAGCAAGAAGAAGTTTGCCTCCTAAGTCTGTTTTGTGGTGTGTCTTTTTTGTTTGTTTGTTTTTTGTGGGGTTTTTTTTCATTGATTTTTAGAGCGAGGGAGAGAGAGAAAGAGAGAGAGAGAGACATCAATGAGAGAGATATATCATCAATCTGCTGCTTCTTGCATCCCCTCCTGGGGATCTGAGCCCCCAACTTGGGCATGTGCCCTGACCAGGAATCAAACCGGGACCTCCTGGGTTCATAGATCAATTCTCAACCACTGAGCCATGCTGGCCAGGCTCCTAAGTCTGTTTTTGTTTGCTTTGGAGAAGGTGTCTTTTTGTAAAATTATTTTTTGCACTTCTTTACTCTTAGTCGATGCCTACTGACTATTTGAGTGATGGAATGGAGATGGAGGTAGCTCAGCAGGGCTGGGGTTATGCAAGGCCAGCGAGGCTACCAGGGAACCAAATTGCAGGAGGCACTCACTCTCTGGTTCATACAAGTTCTCACCCTGATTGCTGGTGAGGAGAAGCTTCGAGGGGAGATGGTTTACTCAGAAATGGCTGACTGTAGGATAGTAAAGGGCCCCAGCATAGGCACCTGCCAGCCTTGCTTCCTCTAACCTGGCACATCCAGGCCTCTCCTGTCCACAAGTGAGCCCTGTCCAGGGCTGGTCACTCCCTATCAAAAGGTCCCTGCTCCCGGGAACTGCAGAGAGAAACATGTATGAAGGAGAACTTGAATCAAGTCAGAGGTAGTTGTCACTGCAGGGGTGCAGGGCTGAAAATATTATGATAATATTAAATACCACTCTGGCTACTTACCATGTGCCACGCCTTGTGTTAAATACATTATGGCCACTATTTTACATAATCCTCTCAATGCAATAAAGAACTTGGGCTCTGGAGCCAGGCAGCATGAATTTAAATTTCAGCCTTGCCTCTTTCATGATGTGTGACCTTGGGAAATTACTTACCCTCTCTGGGCTTCAGCTTTCTCATCTGAAAAATGGGAATAATAATAGAACTTACATCATGGTGTTCCAAGGGCCATATCCGGTAATACGAGGAAAGCAATGAGACAAGCATCCGGCACAAAATAAGCTCCGGACAAGTATTAGCCATGGTTAGTATTGCGATTGCCTCTTGTAGCTTATTCCTAGGGTTGCCACAACAAAAGTCTCACAAAACCGGGGACTTAAACAATAGAAATGTATTGTCTCACAGTCCCAGAAGCTAGGAGTCCAAGATCAAGGTATTGGTAGGGCTGGTTCCTTCCATAAACTGTGAGGGAGGATCTGTTCCCTGCATCTCTCCTCAGTTCTGGGCTTTGCTGGTTTATAGATGACCATCTTCTCCTATGTCTCTTCACTTCATCTTTCCTGTGTTTGTCTCAGTGTCCAAACTTCCCCTTTGTTTGAGGCTATTTGGGCTGCTATAACAAAAATACCATGGGTTGGGTGGCTTAGACAACAACCCCTTATCTCTCACAGTTCTGGAGGCTGCGAAGTCCAAGGTCAAGGCACTGACAGGTTCGGTATCTGTCTGGTGAGGACCTGCTTCCTGGATCTTAGCTGCTGTCTTCTCACTATGTCCTCACAAGGCAGACGGGGTGGAGGAGCTCCCTGGGGTCGCTTTTATAAGAGTACTGATCCCAATCATGAAAACCCTATCCTCACCACGTAGTCTCTTCCCAAAGGTCCCTCCAAATTGGGAATTAGTTTTCAATGTATGAATTAGGGGAAGGAGGTTGGAGAAACACACACATTCAACTGTAGCACCCTTTTATAACGACATCAGTAATATTGAATTTATTGTAGAACCAACTCTGATGATTACTTTTACAAAGACCCTATTTCCAAATTAGGTCATGTTCTGAGATACTGGGGATTCATACCCAATACATCTTTTGTAAGGATGGGGTGGGGGAAGAGGGAGGAGACATAATTCAACCTATGGTACAAGGCTAAGGAACTTGCTTAATGTCATACATCTCATTGGTGATGAAACTGGGTCTTAGACCCCAGGATTATTTGGTGACACATTTCATGGCATGAACCCCCATGTAAAGCCCCAACTTTCTTTTCTTTATTTTTTTAAAAAATATATATTTTATTGATTTTTTACAGAGAGGAAGGGAGAGGGATAGAGAGTGAGAAACATCGATGAGAGAGAATCATTGATCAGCTGCTTCCTGCACATCCCCTATTGGGGATGTACCCTTGCCTGGAATCAAACCTGGGGCCTTTCAGTCCAGAGGCTGATGCTCTATCCACTGAGCCAAACCAGCTAGGGCAAGCCCCAACATACTTAAACCTTCTCTGAATGGGGAGAAAGAACCAAAGAAAGACATTCAGAGACTACTGCTCCTGCGTTGATGGCATTTCCTCTTCTTTCTCTCTTCTCCAGCCTGCCTGCTCCAGGCTGAGCTGGTCAATTATGAACGAGTCAAGGAGTATTGCCTCAAAGTCTTGAAGAAGGAAGGGGAGAACTTCAAGGCCCTTTACCGGTCTGGTGTGGCCTTCTACCACCTTGGGGACTATGACAAAGCACTCTACTACCTGAAAGAAGCAAGGACCCGACAGCCAACAGGTAAGGCAGAAATGGATGTTTTCTCATCCTAAGCCACCTCTGGCAGCTCTCATTGGGATGGGCAGCTGTCAGGGTGCAGGGCCAGGCAGGTGCAGAAATGGCAAATTAGGGGTCAGGTGGCCACTAGAACTTGGAATGAGGACAACATACAGCCCACACATTTGCCTGGGGTCTGAGTCCCATGGAATGTGGTCACCTCTTCCCTTCACATTGAATATGGAATTCTTTGTCTTTCCTAATCCAGAATCCAGCTTTCTTCACTTACTCAATAAATATATATTGAGTTCTTACGATGCTCCAAGATTTCTGCTGGGCACAAGGGATGTGGATGAGAAAAGGTGGCTCATATATTTGAGGGGCTCACACTCTGGTGGGCAAGACAGAATACAAAGCAATGATTTGGGTGCTGAGCCCAGTATGTTCCAGGAAGCATGCTCCGCCTTCTCCAGTCAGATCTCATTCTCGAGAGGATGCATTATCTGTAGCATTCTTGCAAATTCATGTCCACAATGTTCAGCCATTCGTTCATTCCACAGATACTAATTAAGCAGTTACAATGGCCCAGGAACTGCTCTAGGTGCTGAGTACATGTCAGGGAATGAAAGAAACTGCAGCCTTCAAGGAGTTTATGATATAACTAGAGGCCTGGTGCATGAATTCATGTACCAGTGGGGTCCCTTGGCCTGGTCTAAAGATCAAGCCAAAACTGGCTCTCTGACATCCCTGGAAGGGTTTTGGATTGTGAAAGAGCACAAGGCAAAACCCTTCCAGGGATGTCAGAGAGCCAGTTTTGGCTGAGGAACCCCAATGGTGCACAATCGGGGCTGGGGAGGGACGCAGGAGGTGGCCAGCCAGGAGGGACCTTGGGAGGGCTCAAGGCGTGTCCAGCCTGTCTTGCTCAGTCCCAGTTGGCTGGACCCCAGCAGCAAGCTAACTTACTGGTCAGCTGTCTGTCCCCTGGTGGTCATTGCATGTCACAGCAAGCAGTTGAGGGTCCTTAGCATATCATTAGCATATTATACTTTGATTGGTTGACTGGATGACCTGACCACTGGACACTTAGCATATTAGGCTTTTATTATATAGGATGGAGGAAGGTGGACAGTAAGCAAATGGACAAATAGATAATACAGTATTTAGTAGTGTTAAGTGCTATGAAGAAAATGAAGCAGAAAAAGAGGATCAAGAGTAAATGGGGTGCTATTGTAGACCTGGTGGTAAGGAAGAACCTCTCTGAAGAGATAACATTTCAATAATGACTTTGACTTGATTTTGCCATTGTTGTTCACAAGGATGATTTTTAAAAATATATATGTTTTATTGATTTTTTACAGAGAGGAAGGGAGAGGGATAGAGAGTTAGAAACATCGATGAGAGAGAGACATCAATCAGCCGCCTCCTGCACACCACCTACTGAGGATGTGCCCGCAACCAATGTACATGCCCTTGACCGTAATTTAACTTGGGAACTGTCAGTCCGCAGGCCGACACTCTATCCACTGAGCCAAACCGATTTCAGCAGTGAGGCTGATTTTTTTAAATGTACTTCTCTTTCTAAGAAGTCTTTAAGAACTTTAGGATCAAATGTATACATTTTTCTTTATCTTTGTAAGAGCACCAATATCTGTATGTGTTGATTAGTTTTCTGTAATCAGTCATGTTCCCCCAATTGTACTGTAATCCACTGGAGGACAAAGAACTGGACTCAGCCAACAGAATTTTCTTGAACATCTACTGTATGCCAGCACTATTCTGGCTGCCATGTGTGGCATTTTTTAGAATTCTGGAAGCGAGCATCTCAAGCAGCCCTGTAACTCTTATATGCTGGTATGTGCGGAGCTGAGCAGCTGTTTCGCATCATACCCCGCCTGCCAATTTAAAAGCTGGAGTTGAGGGATCATTTCCCAGTTTGAGGTGAGGTGGCCTGACTCTACTTATAAGGACAAAAATAAGACAATGAAGCAAAGTCATTTCAAACTCTTCAATTAAAAAAATTACATTCGACTAATATGTCTTCCTCGTTAGAGTAGCTCTGCTAAGCTAGCCTATTTTGGCCCTTACAGAAATGTCCTGAGGAAGGTATGACCCCCAGGGGAGGCAGGCTTTGGAATCAGCTGCCCCACATACTGTCTGTGGCCTTGGGCATCACACTTACCCTCTCTGGGGCCCAGTTTTCCCTTTTGGCACAGTGAGGGTGATGCTACACACCTGGCAAGGTTTCGAGGAGGGTGAAATGAGATAACATAGCACAAAGTAGGCATTCAAAAATGGAAGTCATTTCTTGCAGACAAGACAGGAGGCTCAAAGAAGTTGGTAACGTGCCTGGAGTTAAACTCTAAGCAGAGCTTCTACTCACTGTGCTGACTCAGGAGCACGGGGATATGCTGTTTCATAGCAATAAAGGGAGACATCCCTCCTCCTCTACTCTCCTTCCTGTCTGCCCCTGGGTCAGGGTGACCTGTCCACATTTGCTTGGGGGAGGCCATGGAGGAGAATGCTAGCTATAGACCTAAGACTTCCCCTCACCACGTGTCCCCTAAGGTGTGTTTCTCTCCTCACAGACACCAATGTGATTCGGTATATCCAGCTGACGGAGATGAAGCTCAGCAGATGCTCCCAGAGAGAGAAGGAAGCCATGTAACTACAGCACCTCTCTAGACTTGCACTTGCACCCGACCCTGGACTTCTAGGCATTCCCTGGTGGAGAGCCCCTCCCTGGGTTCTGGTCCTTTCTCCCCACTCCTTCCACCAGCGCCCCCCCTCCCATCTCTTCTTCCTGTTGCCCCCCAACTCTTGTCTACTCCCAGTGTGAAAAGAAGGATATACAAATCTGGAATCTGGCGGGTTGCCCTGACAATGGAGATATCTTCTTCTCTAGGTCAGCCACTGAGAGGGACCTGAGCTCTGTGGGGACAGCCGGGGAAGGCGGTCACACACCAGGAATGCCTGGGTTTCTGACAGAGGCAGATCTTGGCGGTTTACCATCCAAAGGCAGCAGGGAGGGAACCCACGTCTGAACCCTGCACACCTTTCTGACGGACCAGAGAATCTCAAGGCAATTGTAACAAGTCCAGGGATGAGACAAACACCAGGAGCATTGGCTAAGGCAGGAGAATGACCGTGAATTTGTACACTGGATTTCCCCACCTCTACCCCCAGTAGCCTCCGCCCCTGCCTCCCTTCCTTGTTGTCTTTGCTTGTGCTTTCTTCTCTTGCCCTTGGGGATCTGTGTCTGTGCCAGGATTCACATGCCATTGACACCCACGCTCAGTGCCCTCTGGTGACCACACATACCATCCTCCCATCCCCCCAGCAGGCAGCTGTGACAGCAGAAGGGCAGGGACAAGTGGGTCAAGGGTTGACCACTGAGGTGAGACGGGGAGGGAGAGGAGATGTCCAGGGGAGAGAGCCTTGTATAGACTGGGCAACTCATTAAGTGTACATACAAGTGAATTAACTGGCAGAAACTCCTGCCACTTCTGTTGGAAGCAGCCCACTCCCCCACTGTTACTCCTTCCCCCGAGGAACCCACTCAGAGCTGCTTACAGCCAGGCAGGACGGGGCTTCCCCAATGGGCCATTTGTTCCGTGGTCCACAGAGCTGGATGCCTCCTCTGTGTGTTGGAGTAGGCTGGGGCTGGGGATTTTGCCCAGGCGGCTGGCTTTGTGGGACTTGTACAGCCTCTTTGCTGACATTAAGCTGGACTCATTGTCTAGCACAGAGAATGTGTTCAACACATACTTGTTGAGTGAATAAATGATGACTGCAGACTGGCTCTCCTGCCTTAAACTAATTTTTATCCCAGCCTGGTCTCCTGATATCTATGCTCTTTATGCCATGTTGCTTCAGTCAAGTAAGAGACATTTCCTGAGGGCTTATTGTTTGCCTACCATTGTGCAATATGCTGTGGGACATGGGACGTGGTCCTATGAAGAGTTCAGAAATATTCGTGTGAGATTATTACCAATGACACCTTTCATTTCTATGATGCTTTACAATTTTCAAAGCACTTTCGTGTATCTTCCGTGTGACCAGTGAAAGAAACAGTATTGTACAAATTAAAATATATACAGATGCAATAATGTTAATAGTTAGCGTTTATTAAATGCACTATCCTCAGCTCTTTCCATGTATAGGCTCATTTCTTTCATGCAATTACCCTAGGAGACAGCATCTCTATTTGAAGGATAAGAAAAACTGAAAGCCAGAAAAAAATTAACTATCCCAGCCAGGCCAGTGGTTGAGCATCAGCATATGAACCAAGAGGTCACGGTTTGATTCCCAGTTAGGGCACATTCCCGGGTTGCAGGCTCGATCCCCAGGAGAGGACATTCAGGAGGACAGCCAATTGAATGATTCTCACTGGTGTTTCTATCTCTCCCTTTCCTCCCTTCCTCTCTGAAATCAATGAACAACAACAAACAAACAAACAAAAAACTTACAAAAGAAAAATGAACTATTGCAAGGTGGCATGGTCTTAAGTGGAATAGCTAGGATTGGAGCCAGCTGTGTCTGACACCAGAGTTCTAGCTCAAACTACTCTATCATTAGTTCCTGCTCTACAAAGTATACTGAGCAGTTATGACCACTCAAGAGCAGAGCAGTGTGTGTTACATTAAAAAGTTTTGTCTGTAGTATCTGAGCTGCCTCTTGTGTTTAAAATGCCCAATGCAAAAAAAAAAAAAAAAAAAAAAAAGTCCCTAACCTTAGACTCGCTAGTGGACAGGGCAGTAACAGACCCAGAAAAGAGAGCTGAGACCCGGCAGTTATTTCTGAGTATTGTTCATTCTACTTGCTGATGGGCCAGACAACCCACCTAGTTTTCCTCACCTCGTCCCAGCTTTGGAGAAGATTCTGGAGAAGATTTCATGAGAGGATGAAAGGGAATACCACGCTGATGATGGGTTATTTGTTTAACCTGGGGCTCCACCACTGCAGGAGCTCATGGCTGCAGAGGGGCCCAGGAGCCAGCAGCCCAGACGATACTCACATGGCTCCTCAAAGGCTTCTAACCGGGACCCTGAGAAAGTGCCAGGAACATCCAAGGGCCCACCATTGCTTGCCAGTAGCTCAGCCTCAGGAGAAGAGGAAAAAGAAAAGGCTGTTAGAGCTGCCACATTCTACCCCACCCCTAACCATTGCCCTCTCTCTGCCCTCTTCCTCCAAAATAGTTTCACGTGACCCCAATTCAAAACCACTCTGCCGTGTTCAGAGTTCAGGCAACCGTGCACAACTCCCCTGCCCCAACCCTCCAGCCCAGAAAGCTCATGAGCTGGCGAACTGCTTGTCAGAATCTGAAGGATAAGATGAGGTCAGAGGTGGCCTATAGAACCAGTTCATACTAGCAAGGTCTTTCCTTTGGTCTTGCATTCAGGAAGGACTCAGAGTAACTGTTCCCAACGTGGGTCAAGAGAGAGGTCAAAAAGTGAGTTGCGGCGAGACTGGGCAGCCGGGGATAAGATTGTTATCCTTCCAAAGAAAAAGGTTGAAAACCAGAACTAAGCACATCCTCACGGGACATTCTGGTGCAAGTGTACAGGCGGTCTTCTTGTTTGGAGACTTAGATACACATGCTTATTGGAACTCCATTCACTGTGACCCAACGTTAAAGGATCCCAAAGGGAAAAGCTGCCTGGGGGATTAGCTGATGTCTGGGCTGAGTGATGGGTCTTCTGTTCCCTGGTCCAACAGAGACATCAGGGAGCTGCTAAGCAAAACCAGGTGTGTGCACCTTCCCGCCAGCTTCCTTCTCCCCACCCCTAGCACAGACAGGTGTTGCCATTTAACTGCAGGCAGCTGTGACAGCAGAAGGACAGGGCAGCTGTGTTTGCAGAGATCACTGCTGAACTCTACCTGGAGCACGAAACCTGGATCTGACCTGCTTTGTCATCTCCTGCTTGGACTTTTGGGATAGACTCTTCAGGAAGAAAAATTATACTCTTCTTGTAATGATTATAAACACCTCCCATGTATATTGTGAATTTAAGGGGGACGGAGGGGGGGAAAACAAATTCCAACCCACAATTCTAGCACCCAAGGCAAGCATTACCATCCTTTTGGGATGTATCTTTTGGGATAAATGCACACATACACGTATACAGTTTGTTGTGTGTGTGTTTTAACAAAAACTAGAGCACATCGTGTGTGTGTGTGTGTGTGTGTGTATACTCTTTAATAACTTTTCAAAATGCGTATATTTTAGAATATGTAATGCCTACACAGACACAAAACTCAAAAATTGCAAAAATCTCTATAGTAAGAAGTAAATCTCCTTCCCACCCCTCTGCCAGCATCTAGTCTCACTCCTATTACTTTTAAGCATTTCCAAACATATGGACACATATACTCTTGTCACACACAAATGGTAGCAAATGGAGACAAGCTTTTGCACCGTGTGCTACTTCACTTAGTATATCAGGAGCATAACATTTGTGTGTGTGTGTGTGTGTTTCTCTCGAACTTTCAGCATCCTCCCCATTCTACAGATGGATCTTTATTTGATAATCAATCTCCTAATAGTGGTTATTTCATTTGTTCCCAGTCTTCATTCTAAGATTGCAACAGACATTCTTGGAGCTATGCTGTGTACAAGGAAAACAATGCTTGTCTATCTTTAAGAATTTTGATGGAAGTTGCCAACTGTCCTCCAGAGAGTTTGTACCAAAGCACTCCTACCTGCAACCTTGAGAATGCCCTGTTCCCTGCACCCTCCCCCGCTCATGGTGGGTATTAGCCCTTATCAAATCTTCACCGATTTGATAGAAAAATGATAGGAGGTCAATGTTATTTGAACTTGCATTTCTTTGATTACTATCAATGAACATCTTCATATGCTTGTTGACCATTTGTATTTTTTTCTTTGTGAAATTTCTAGTCATTTGATACTGTTATGTTTACCTTTATTATCAACATGTAATTTTATTATCAATATTATCTTTGTCCAGAAACACTGCAAATGGGCTTTCCGAGTGCTTTGCTTTCACATTTTGTTGACGGTGCTTTTTGACATACATAAATTCTTAATTCTGCAATTAATTTGTTTCTTTGTTGCCAGCTTCTTCTGCCTGTGGCTCGCTCTCCCATTTCTGTCAGGTGGCCCTTGTGAAGCACAGGATGGTGTGGCTCCCTAGCTTGAACATCTGTAGCGGCTCCTCGTTCACTTTAAAAGCCAAACTCCTTAGCATAACACACAAGGGCGGTCCTGTGATCCCCCCCACCCCCCACGCCGCTCTTCTGGGATCACCTGCTAGTCTTCTTGGCAGGTGCCCTCTATTCCATGGCCACACAGCTGCTTGGCATTCCCTGAACCCATGTTCTGGGTCTCTGAGCCTCTCCATGCTGTTCCCTCTGCCTCCTCGCTGCCCACTCCTTACTCCATCCAGCTCCCTCTTTGCCTTGCTAACTCCGTTCGGACCCCAAGCATCACTAATTGAAAGCGATTCCTGACCCCTGAGTCCAGCCTGCACTCCAGCAGCATGAACCTACCCATCCCTGGCCAGCATTTGCAACAGCGAATTGTAATTTCCTACTTAAGTGTGTCTCCCCCGCTACCTGGATTTTCCAGGCAGGTGCTGTGATTTGTTCATTTTTGCAGCCAGAACGTCTAGCACAACACCTTCACATAGCAAGTGCTCACTAAATGTTGAGCACTGAGCTTGGCGTGGATGAATAATGGATGTGGTGGCAGATGTTACTTGAGGTAAATGCAGGGCTGGGCTGGATCTGTGCTTGAGAAGTGAAGAACTCCTAGGAGACATGGGTTATAAGAGAAGCCCTGTGCTCCCCTGCTGTGCTTTTCAAAACATCAGAATCACTTGAAGTAGTTTTTAAAAAATGCATCATCTCAGGCTCTGCCTTAGATCCATTGAATCAGACTCATGGGGATAATGCTCAGCATACAAGAGTGTATATGTGAGTGTGTGATCCTGAAGAGTTTCTGATGACCAGCCAGGGTAAAAAGCTGCTGCTGAAGTAATCCGACAGATAAATCAGAGCCCCTGGCTCCACTATTTCAAATCATGTGATCGTTGCAGTGGATAGATGGAGCTTTATTTGAACACCAGCTTTGACATCTACTGGCCGTGTGACCTCAGGGCGGTTTCATGATTTCTTTTTTTAATATATTTTATTGTTTTTTTACAGAGAAGAAAGGAGAGGGATTGAGAGTTAGAAACATCGATCAGCTGCCTCCTACACATACCCCACTGGGGATGTGCCGGCAACCACGGTACATGCCCTTGACCAGAATCGAACCCAGGACCTTTCAGTCCGCAAGCCAGTGCTCTTCAGTCCTCAAGCCATCCACTGAGCCAAACTGGTTTCGATGCATGACTTTTCAGGCTCTCATTAGCCTCACTTAAACATGAGGACAATATTACAAGCCCCTTACAAGCGTGTTGGGAAGATTAAGAACTACCTGTCTCCTAGCTCAGTGCCTAGCGCAGCGTAAGCATGAAATAGAATATTCATTTTCTTTCCGTGTCCCCCCCTTTCTTCTCCCTCCCCCGCTCAGCCTCAGTTTCTTCATCTATAGTTTGGCTGGGATACCTGCATGTTTGCTTCCCACACTCCCACACCGACCTCTAGAAGGAAGGAGCTTCCCACAGGCTCTGGATTACTCTGGCCACACGGGACAGGTCCTTGAGCGACACAAGGGGCCGAGAAAGCCCCGTATTCCACCGCATGCTCTCTCCCGGCACACCAGAGAGTGTAGAGCAGCCAACTGGAATGATTCTGATGCTTTCAGACCCAATTGTCTTTTAGCCACATCCAAAGATCAACACAGCCGAAATCAGTTTGGCTCAGTGGATAGAGTGTTGGCCTGCGGACTGAAGGTTCAATTCAGGTCAAGGGCATGTACCTTGGTTGCGGGCACATCCCCAGTAGGGAGTGTGCAGGAGGCAGCTGGTCGATGGTTCTCTCTCATCGATATTTCTAACTCTCTATCTCTCTCTCTTCCTCTTTGTAAAAAATCAATAAAAACAAATAAATAAACAAACAAACAAAGAAATAATCAACACAAAGAACAAACAAAGATTAACACAGGTTCCACCCAAAGGCCAGTGGCTTTTCACCTCCAAGGTGAAGGCGGTTGTCAGCAAAGAGAGGAGTCATTGCCTGCTCCCC